TTACTTCCTTTAATTACCTAATCATGTATGAGCTTGACCTTTCATAATATGGCCGATCATGGCTATCCAAAAACACAACCTCTTGCTATTCTATCGCTACTTTTGGTGGAAAATATTTAAACGAGCTACGTTCCTTTGTTCCACAAGTTCAGAACTTCACAAATCGGATCCGCCATATTACATACACACAAGGGGGATTCGTTCCCATTCAGTTTATATTCTATAGGTAAGGAAGTAAATCATCTTCTTCTCCAGAACTGTTACTTTATATAAACATAATCCCGAGAGGATGCTTTATCGATCACTCCGATATTTAACTCTCCAAATCTAGAGTGAAACGTTATCTATTTTACATAACCTCAAGATCAGTAACCCTTAATCCTCGCCTTAAAGCCCTCAAAACAACCCCGTTCGGTAAGCCTCTACCTTAGATTGCTTTTAGGTCTTGTACTGAGGGAACAATAATATAAAAAAAAAAACACCCTATTTTATCTATGTCTAAGCAACGTTTGCTTTTTAAGCACCTTTCTTTATCCCTACTGTGATATTCACACACACACAACTCATTAATTTGCTCGCTATTCCCGGCTATCCAATTTTACCTCATTACGTGCATTCTTTCCTCTTCATGTGCCCCAGAAATTTCAACCATTTCTTTCTAAATTTAAATAGGTCTCTCTTTCCAGTACACATTTTCTTTGGAACTTCCCTGTTGTTCACGTATCCTGTCCATGGTACTTCCATGATGCTTCGAAAGAACTACATCTCTGTTGCTTCAAGTCCCTATGGAAATTGTCCAGCATTCACTGTCATACATTTACACTTGCAATATATCCTTGGGAAAACCATCTACCCTCAGGTATGTGTCAAATTGCCGTATAGACTTGGATCTCTAGCTTTGTGTGGCAGCAAGTTTAGACGAAGGACAATTCAAAACCATTGAAAAAACAACGGGAAAAGCGTTCACTACCTTTCCCAAGAAGTTATGTAATTTCACAGATAATAACGAAAATTTCTGTATAAATACGGGTGTCGTATACTCTGACCTACTTTATTCCTGATTTTTATCAATAACCTTCTAGACGTCCTCGGTTCTCGATTCGATATCTATGCTGACGACACAGCTATTTACTCCTGTCTTAATAGTTGGTTCGACAAAGTCAAATTGGCAGCTGATCTCGAAAATGACCTTCAATCTGTAGTTAACTGGGTCAAGAAATGTCTTGTCAATTTGGACAAAAGTAAAGTGTTCTCTATTAATATTAAGTCTGGTGCTAGGAAAATCATCGTACTAGACAATTTTTCTCACCAAAATTTGTCTTGTACCATTATGTCCACCATTCGTCCGTACATCGTATATTCCTGCAAAATTTGGCATGGTTTTTCTGTTATGTATCTGGAGATTCTTGACACAATCCAAGAAGATTCTGCAGTGCTATGGATCTTGACAAAAAAAAAAAAAAAAAAAAAAAAAAAATACGTCTCGTTTTCAATGACTTTGCTACCGCTGTAACATAGCTTCTCTGTGTCTTTTTTTAAAAAAAAAATATTTCCATGGTAATTGTTCAGATGAGCTTACCTCTTTGCAACCTCGACTTCACGAATATGAGCATAGCACTAGATTGGCGGTTAGGTCTCATCCTTTTACTGTTTATATTGTTATATGTAAACGTAAGTTCTATTTTAATTGTTTATTCTCTCGCACTTCGCGCTTGTGGAACTCTCTTCCGGCTTACGCTTTTGTGTCAACTACGATCTTCAAAAATTTAAAAGCAACGTCAATTTTCATCTTCTGCCGCCATGTTCTTTTTAATTGTCCTTTCTCCTTAGCAACGTTTTCTCAGTTTCTGTCACTCTCAGCAACACTTTGGATCTTAGTGGCTTTATCCCCTTGATTGGGTGAAATGTTTTAAAAAATAAAGAATCTATAGAGAAACACGACTGCCTCTCACTTCAGAACAGACTTTGCATTTAGTACAGTGATGACCTCTTAGCCGGAGCCGGAGTCCCTGGTGTCAGGGGCTTTCTCGACATGTGAACATTTGATCGACTCAGCCTGCGCCTGAGACATGCACGCATGGGAAAGAACCGATGACAGTCAGATATACAAACACCTACCCTAGAGGTACAGGCTCAGACACGAAAATGTAGGCTCCAAGCAACGCACTCGTAAATCCGAAGCTGAATTAAATGCAATGTTACGTATGAGTAATTGTCTCGCGTTTCCTTTAGTCGCCACAACGATATAGAAAGGACAGGACACAAAAAATAAAATTAAATTAAATTAAAAATAAAAGAATTTGCAAGGGTGAGAGGATAAATTTCTGCTTCGCAACTACCAAAACTACTTGAAGCTTTCTCTCGCAGACTGACCCTTACTAGGTACCGCCATGAGATCGCTAAAAAAAGAGCATAGCATGATGAAAAAGACACCAAACTTGACGAAAACAAAATTTTATCGTCTAAATGTTTATGTTATTATGAAGAGGAAACACCAAAGTTATTTTTATTATTTAAAAAAAATTTTCCTTCTTTTTAAAACATTCTAAATTTTTATTAAAAAAACATTGTTTCTCTTTGTATCACCGGAACTAGTAAAATAACATATAAAATTTTTAGCATGTTTTTTTTTTGTATGACACATTAATTTGGAAAATTTTGCAAAAATAAAAATAATTGTCGGATCGGATGTTAATGAAACTTTCAGAAACTATTCACAGATAATCGAAATTATTATAAATATTTTTTTTATTAAAGTCATGCCAGAAATATGTTTTTTATATTTATTCCGTCCCCCATAACTGATTTTATGAAAACGCTAGAAATTCGATTGAATCCAGCTTAGTGATTACAATAGTTAAAAGCACAAGGCTTTGAGGAATGCAAATCATGTATTTTTGTTTTTAATTGGACCCCCCCCCTACCTGAAAAACAGCTCTGCATTGTAACGTACAAAACTCAATAAAACAAAGATATTATTTAATTTCAAATGCTTTTATTTGCTTTTAGTTGTTTTTATGAATATGGACAATATTTTCTGAAAGCAAAAAGTTTTTTCGATGAAAAATTAATTTTTAATACAATTATTTGTTATTTCTTTAATTATAATAGATTTTTACATTTAAGTTGTTAAATATTATAAAATTAGTTAAAAGCCGCGTTCGATTTCGTAAGTGTGCTTATGAGATATATCTTTTTTTAGCACGTTGTAAATTGTATCATTTTGACTAATCAGAAGATCCGCAGTAATTAAGAAATGTAATTTTGTATTTATAATCGGGCTGTAATTATAAAGTACGGAAGACCAACCAGAATACAATTAAGTTTCGTTATTTGAGTTAAGCATTGTTCTCCGCTGTTAAAGCCTTTACTTTTACGAAACACGTGTGGAGAAGTTAATTTGATTTTTCAATTTCAACTGAGAAGGGTACCTACAAGTATCACTATCATCTTATGAAATTTATATGATCTTAATTTTATATTAATCTCAGTTATGACATTTTTTCCATAAATGAAATATCAAAATTAATAATAAAATGAATGGAAATAGAAATAACACAGTCAAATGTAGTAAATGTAAATAAAATTATAGTATTTTATGTACACTTCTGATAAAATTTCATAAGAAAGGTACCTATAAATTAATTAGATACCTTTCTTATGAAATTTAATCTCACTCTTAACAGTCTTATTTTAATTTCTTTATAACATATTTTCCATAAAGCATCGTAAACGTAAAGGTGAAAGCTAGGCACAAAAAAAATTAGAGCGCTGAAAGTTTTCCCTAAAAATAACGATGTAAATAATTTGTTCACTTAAATCTAAATAACTTCACTTCTCTCCATCCGTAGAAAGCATTATCCTCCCGTAAGTTATCTAAACGTCATGAAAATGTCTTTCGTCACCTGTCAAGTGACGCGAAATGTTATGACCTGCTTTGTTTTATTTTCAAACTACATCTTTTCGGCGCAGAAGCTAAGTTAAGCTTGGTTCAAAATATTTTAAAAACATTATAATTCCTGATTTTCTTAAAATAAGGTTTAAAAAAAATGATAATTGATTTTTAAAAGAATTTCAAAGTGAGATTTTCGTTTTTTTATAAAATGGAAAAAAGTGTTGCCATGATTGATTATTTGCCAATTTTGATAACTCAAAAAAACAAGATTTTTAACGAAAATTTCGGACGTCTAGGAACGATTAAAAAATGTAAAAAAATACCCTCAAAATACTTTGATTTTTTCCTTTTAATAACAACATAAACATTTAGACGATAAAATTTTGTTTTCGTCAAGTTTGGCGCCTTTTTCATCATGCTATGCTCTTTTTTAGCGATCTCATAGAGGTACTACGTAAAACGTGTTGATCCAAGCGCCTGTGAGTTCTAACTCCCGTTCGCCACCTTTTACTTCAAGAATTCTCATTTCTGCTGAGTCATTTCCCTTTTTTTCTAACAGCTTCTCGAATCCAATTTGTTGTCTCCTCCCCAATTCCAATATTGTTCACTTCCGCTCACGCATTTATCTACTCGATCATCAACCATACTGAAAAAAAACAAAAAACAAAAGAACTCCAATCGACAACATTGCCACTGTCCAATTCGGCCAGCATAAACACGAGCTACCGACGAATGTTTGTCTTATGTCTGCGTCAATATGTGTGCAAGACCGCGTTTTCGTAAAGTGGGTGTACAACAAACAATGCGTGCAAAACTACGGGTAGTTTTACGCTGAGTATATATTTTCTCTACAAGAGTTTCCTGTAAGCGCCTTCGTGAGACAGAGAGAAAGTGAGAAAATAACGAGCAGGGAGAGAGAGGGGCGGAGAGAGAGAGAGAGAGAGAGAGAGAGAGAAGGAGAAGTGGGGGGAAACTGAAGGTTGGGGAGTGAATGTTATGTCTGTATTTTGTATATCCGCGTACCTCAGTAGTCATTTTCCGTTTTTTTTTGTCCCTTTCATGTTTCCCGCCTGCTCGTTTGTTGTCGACAGTAAAATGGCCGCCTATGTCAGGTCAGCGTTTGCTCTTTGTTGGCGGGAACCAATTTGTCAAATCAAAACGGATGACATGTTTGACATGAAGGCATTTTTTAATCAACTAACATCACAGACTTATATTTCTCTAAACTATACGTACCTATTTATTTCGCGGTGACCTTCTTCTTCTTCTTCTTCTTCTTTTTCTTCTTCTTCTTCTTCTTCATCTTCTTCTTCTTCTTTCCATTTGTCATCCTTCTTCTTCCTCGTCTTCTTTCATTTCCATCCTTCTTCTCCTTCCTCTTCTCCATTTTTTATCCTTCTTCTTTTTCTCCATCATTCTATTTCCTATCTTTCTTCTTCTTTATCATTTTTCCTCCTCCTCCTCCTCCTCCTCCTCCTTCTTCTTCTTCTTCTTCTTCTTCTTCTTCTTCTTCTTTCCATTTTCCATACTTCTTTCTATGTTCCATCCTTCTTCTTTTTCCTCCTCTTCTTTCCATTTTCCACCTTTCTTTTTCTTCTTTCCATTCTCAATCCTTCTTCTTTCTATTTTCCATCCTCTTTCTTCCTTTTCTTACCATTTTCCCTCCTTCTCCGTCTTCTTCTCCTTCTTTCTATTTTCCAACCTCTTTCTTCCTTTTCTTACCATTTTCCATCCTTCTCCGTCTTCTTCTTCTTTCTATTTTCCATCCTCTTTCTTCCTCTTCTTACCATTTTCCATCAATCCTTCTTCTTCTTCGTCTCCTTCTTTCTATTTTCCATCCTTCTTCTTTTCCATCCTCCTCTTCTTACCATTTTCCATCCTTCTCCGCCGCCTTCTTTTTTCCATTTTCGATTTTTCTTCGTCTTCGTCTTTCCATTTTCCATCCTTTTTCTTCTTTCCATTTTCCATCTTTCTTCTTTTTTTCTTCTTTTCATTTTTCATAGTTCTTCTTCTTCCATCTTTGTTTTTCTACTTTTTCTTGTATTCTTCTTCTTGTTGCTTATCACTTTTACAGCCACCTTATTCTCTTTTCTCTCTCCTTTTTTTTTCGGATATGCGGTTGGAGTAATGGATAGCAGCTCTGAATGATGAATCGATGGTCCGATTTCGAATTTCAGCCGAGTTCGTTACATCAACTTATGCGCAAATACTCTTGGGAAAGTATGACTCCATCTCTCCAGCAATGTGTTAAATAGAAAGTAAATGATTGTTATCTCCAAAAAAATATCGCTAATGCAAAGAGAAAAAGAATTATTGTTACAATCCAAAAATGTTTTGACTCCGTGACTAAGTACCGTATTCAGATGGTTGATCATAGGACAGATTGCCCCGATACTTTGATCATAGGACAGATCGCTCCAATACTTTGATCATAGGACAGATCTCTCAGATACTTTGATCATAGGACAGATCTCTCAGATACTTTGATCAGAGGACAGAGCGCTCCGATACTTTGAGCAAAAGACTGATAGCTCAGATACTTTGATCAGAGGACAGAGCACTCAGATACATAGATCATAGGAGAGATTGCTCAGATACTTTGATCATATGACAGAGGCCTCAAATACGTTGATCTTAGGCAGCGCATTCAGATACATTAATAATAGGATACTGCGCTCAAATACTTTGGTCAGAGGAAAGATCGCTCAGATATTTTGATCAAAGGACAGAGCGCTCCGATACTTTACTCATAGGACAGAGCGCTCAGATACTTTTATCATAGTACAAAGCGCTCAGTTACTTTGGTCATAAGACAGTGTGCTTGGACACTTTGAGCATAGGACTGAGCATTCAGATGCATAGATCATAGGAGAGAGTGCTTAGATATTTTGATCATACGACAGATCACTCAGATACATTGAGCATATGAAAGATACCTCAGATAGTTTGACCAAGGAACAGAATACTCATATACTTTGGTCTTAGAAGAGATTGCTCAGATACTTTGATCAGCGGAAAGAGCAGTCAAATACTTTGATCATAGGATAGAATTCTCGGAAACTGTGATCATAGGACAGAACCATCGGATACTTTAATCATAGCGGTTATCGCTCAGATACTTTGATCACACGACATAGCGAACAGATACTTCTGCTATAGGACAGGCCATTCAGATACTTTAATCATAGGAGAGAGGCCTCAGATACGTTGATCTTAAGCAGAGCATTCACATACTTTGATAATAGGATACTGCATTCAGATACTTTGATCACAGGAGAGATCGCTCAGATATGTTGATCAAAGGACAGAACGTTCAGATACTTTGGTCATTGGACAAGTACACAGATATAGATCATAGGACAGATCACTCAGATACTTTGATCATAGGAGAAATTGATCAGTTATTTTAATTATAGGGCAGAGCATTCAGATACTTTGATCATAAAACTGATGCTCATATATTTTGAACATAGAACAGAACATTCAGATAGTTTGATCATAGGACTGAACGCTCAGATATTTTGATCATAGGACAGAGCGACCAGATATTCTGATAATAGAACAGTACGCTCAGATACTTTGATCATAGGAGAAATCGCTCAGATACTTTGATCAAAGGACAGAACGTTCAGATACTTTGGGCATAGAACAGAATATACAGATACAGGTCATAAGACAGATCATTCAGATACTTTGATCATAGGAGAGGTGTCTCAGATACTTTGATCATAGGAGAGGTGTCTCAGATACTTTGATCATAGGAAAGGTGTCTCAGATACTTTGATCATAGGAGAGGTGTCTCAGATACTTTGATCATAGGAGAGGTGTCTCAGATACTTTGATCATAGGAGAGGTGTCTCAGATACTTTGATCATAGGAAAGGTGTCTCAGATACTTTGATCATAGGAGAGGTGTCTCAGATACTTTGATCATAGGAAAGGTGTCTCAGATACTTTGATCATAGGAGAGGTGTCTCAGATACTTTGATCAGGGGACAGTGCAAACAAATACTTTGGTCACATGACAGTATTCAGATTGTTTGATCATAGGACTGAGATTTCAGATAAGTTGATCTTAGATAGATCACTCAGATACTTTGATTATTGTAAGATCGTTTTGAAACTCTGATCTGCTGTTTCTTTTTTAACTAATATTACGTCTAATACAAGGCCTAACAGGTACAGGTTTACTGAGTGTTTTTGTTGTATGAACGTAAGAGGAGGAGTACTGATTATGAGGATATGTAAGACAGATAACGGTTGACACTAGACTTGAAAAGGCTGAAATTGTACTGATCAGGGAAGCCGCCTTTTGGATATCTGTTCCCCCAAGTAGACATTCTGGAGAAGCTGAAACTTCCTTTTTTTTACCAATGAAATACGAAGGCAAGGAGAATCAGTTGACTTTGTGTACGTGATATAGTGTGCCCTATCTTTGAAGACTTGAACTGTTGGAACTAACGAATGTAGCTGGTTTTAACATTTACCATGTAAATAACTATAGTGTAGCGATTGTCTTGTGACGGTGCCTATGTGAGAAAGTGGCCGTAGGTTTGAAAATAAGTCATCACCCACGAGGTTGCGTAATCGCTTTTGAATTATGTTACGTCTGGGAAGTGAGGAATGGGATCAGATTTTCTTTTTTAATCATATCACCCCTTGCAAGTCAGTAAAGCCACTAAGACACAAGGAATTACTGAATGTGAAAGAATAAGAAAAAAGAAAAAGAAAAGAGAAACATTATTAAGGAGCGAGAAAAACAGAAGAGTAACCAAGAAGCCAGTAGGTAACAATAGACATAGTATTTAAATTTTTGAAGATCAAAGTTGATTGGAAAGAATGGAATCAGAAGAGAGTTCCACAAGCGAGAAAAGGGAAAAGGGAAACTGTTAGCATATAGCCTACGTTCATACTTAGCCAATTCAACTGTGAATTGATGAAACCTTGCAGCAAATCTAGTACTGCGTTTAAATTCTAGGCACCATAGCGAAGAGTTCATTTAAACATTTACAATGAAAGTATTTATAGAAAATACACAGGGAAGGTACATTACGGCGATGGGAAAGTGACTGAAGCTGAGACGCCATGTCAAAAGTGCTTGATGATGATAGGACGTTATTAGTTTGGCTTTGGAGTTACAGGCTAGTTCCCCGCTTCCATTGAGTAGATCAGCGGAGAGATTAGCTTCCAGGTCCTGATCATAGTCAGAACACTCAGATAATCTGGCCCTCAGAAGAAGATACCCTGAACCTAGTTTACTGAAAGTCTAAGAAAGGGTAAACGTTAACTGCGAGTTTAAAAAAATGTCAATCGATGTAGCCGTAATGATGGTGACTGTTAAACGATTCTTTGATATAAGGCAGAGCGCCACGCAGCGCTGATTCTTGTCAAAGTGTTCAGTTAATCTAAATGTACGTGGAGCGCTCAGATACTTTGATCATAAAGCACGTAGATACAATACTTTGGTATTAAGCAGAACACTCAGACACACCGATGTTAGATTACAAAGATAGAAAAAAAAAGATTTTCCCTAATCTAAGTTCTTGTGTCAAACACAAAAACTTATCTAATAGGATAGCAAGTCATAATAGGCGCAAAATTACGAATGAAAATCAACCACTGCGTAAAATTTTAAAGGAAAATACATTTATTACACAATTACGAAAAAGTGCAAATACAAAGTTTGAACAAAAACTTTCTTTTTCTGCGTTTATTAAGGTAGGATAACGATTTCAGATTGAAAGGATTGCTATCGAAAAATGGAAAAATAAATAGAGTTTGGGAAAATACAAGGATTTTGAAAAAGAATGATAAAAGAAAACAATTAAAGAAGACATTAAAAACAAAGGTGCAACAACCTTTGAGAAAAAAAAAAAAAAAAACGAAAACACATACTTTTACTTTCCCCACTGGAATCTCTGTGACATATAGTAATTTTAGAGAAGTACCTTCTAAATTCACAGTTTGTGCCTGGGAAAAATCCTCAGAATTCTTTTCGTTCTTTGTTGTCCAACCGCAGGAGAATTTTCACTTAAACTTCAAAATTCTTTAGTCTCTCTGCAGCTGGCTGGTAACTGTTGCCTTCTTGATACTCATTTCTTGACGTCAAAATGTCTTCTTATATCTAGTGGTCTGAGCTCTATATATTTGGAAAATTAAGTTCATAAAAACCCTTTTTCATTGGTCAGTATATACAATAATAATTTTCCATAAACTAGATATGGATCCTTCATAAATTTTGTTGTGTTTTAACCAGTGTGCCGAAAAGATATTCAAGTGTAACAATTCTTTACCGAAATCGTCTGGTTTCATAAAAATACACTTCTCTCAAAAGAGTGTGTATTTAAAATATATAAATAAATAAATAAAACAATAACTTAGACAATTAAATATTTATTCAATGCTGACATTTTTAAAATAGTAAAAATAAAATTTTTATAAAGATACTCTGAGCCTAGGCGGAGTGTTCATATATTCTGATCAGGTCAGAACATTCAGACAATCAGATATTTGGAAGAGCGCTCAGATACATTGATTCTATGTTGAGCGCTCAAAAAACTGATCTTAGGCAGAGTGCTCATATATTCTGATCCTGAGACAATCGTTCATGTACTCATATATATTCTGCTACTCTGATCCTAGGCAGAGAGCTCAAATACTTTGATGTTAGCCAGCGCGTACACCGTATCTAAGTAGCAACCCGTGTTCAAATTTATGCCGAGGCTGTGGCGTTCACTTCAGGCTTCAGACATTGATTCATCTCTTGGCAAACAGATGAATCCACCACTTCTTCCTGCAACTCAAGGTAAAACAATAAGGTAGAATAGACTATCTAGTTTTGGTAAGGTAACTCATCTCGAATGCACTTTGATTTCAATCCTTACTGTTTATTGTATATCATTGACCAAGGGAAGCGCCATAACTCCCTATATCAGAGATATGGAAAAGGTTTGAATGAACTGAGAAAAACAACATGCCAAAAAGAAATCTCTTGTACAAATGCA